TTCAAAAATGAGCTTTTAGCGACTCCACAAATCGTATTGTTCTCCTTCTAAAAAAAAGAAAATGTGTATACTCTTAAGTCTTCAACGACTTCTTCGGAAAGTGACTGCGCATATTATTAGTGGGTATTTTTTCATACTTAACCGTTTCCGTTCTATTTTAAGAGCATTTATTTTTTTGTGAGTACATTCTATTATATGCATCTAAACTATCAATTTTCTAAGTGTGTGCGTGCGTGTCGTTTGATTGTGTGCGTAGTAAGTGATCGTTAGTGTGTGGACTGCAGTGTAAAAGAGATATGAGACACGCACATGTCACCGATCTGTAGTCGAATAGTAACATTTTTCACTAAAAAAGCATGTACTCTGTTGTCCATCGTACTAACTAATAGCTAGTAATGCGATAAGAAATGTGAAAACATATTTGAATTCGTCATGGAATATACTTAAGATACCATTTTTTTTTTTTAAATTTCATACAGTAACTGTTTAAAAAGTTTTCAACATTATATTTTTAGATAAATTTAAGAGATGATAGTCGATATTTGAAAAAAAACAAGTATGACTGACTTCAAGTAAACCTCAACATGAATTTATTTATGGTTTCAGATTATTATTATAGCATTACTAATTGTGTCGGTCCGGTGGATAAAAGATAAGTATATTATGATTAAAAAAAACCGTTATATCATTAATTTTAAAATGGATTTTGATTCATCAACAAGTTACCTTAAAATTGGTATTTTTATGATATCATGTATGCATATTTTAGAATATTAAAATTGCACCTGTCGTCACAGATACATATATTATTAATAAATCAGAACTTGGTATCAAAATTAAAATCCATCCAACCAATTCCCCACAATTTACTTAAACGTCTTATAGATCTAAATACCATTTTATATATTTTATGTAGATTTCAATGAAATAATTTTGCACAAATGTACATGTGTGACTATAGTGTTATATAAAAAATGATTATGATAATATTTTGACACTGCAGCTGTTACATCCTGTTGAATATGCCCATGAGTATACATTTTTTGTCTTTTTACCCAAACGTCCTCAACGTGTATACAACTGAAATTGTCGGTGTTACATCTGTACATACCCGCGATACATTTATATTTGTATACCTACTCCCTATCTTTTTCCATAGATAATTCTCGGAATATATATTTTTTTTAGGAATATCGATATGTGCATTGTCACGTTTTCCTCACTCCAGCCATAGGTGAACTGAGCCCCTATTATAAAGCATATACCTTAGAGTTGAGTTTGACAAACCTTAGCAGTAGTATTATTTAAAACCAATTGAAAAAAGTTGTTTCACTACGTTTACCATCGAATTATTTACTGTATTAACTTCGTCTTAAAATATATCTAGTCTGAAATGTAGTATAAGTAAACAGCAACAAAAAATTATCGAAAAACAAAACTGAATACGAGAAATAATTGTTCAATATCAACGCAATTGGCCTACTCGTAAAAATTGGCCTGTGCGCACCAGCCTGATATGATAATTATTATTCTATTTCTATATTATGCACAATTACCGATGACACCATACTTAAGTATCATACACAGTATAATAAAATATGCCGGCTCAATAATATTTTCAAAAAATATATCGCATGATACATACACTATAATAAACGGCCCCCCCGTGACGATTTCCTGGTAATGCTAATTGTATAAATAATAAAATATGTACCCATAGTTGGAAAACAGACCATTAATGCCATTATCCGGTTTCAGGTGATTTTGGGCACGGGCGGCGGCACGAAGACGTTCTTCCGGTTCGACTACGGTTAACACGACGTGCAGAGCTGGCCCCACCGCTGGCAGAGGAAAATTTCTCGGTCTGGCCCCTGCTTCCTGTCCACCCGGGTGATGGCTGACCGAGACCGGAATCGACTTATTGTGCTCGAGACGAATTTCCCGGAACAACGTCGGCTGCGGAATAGTGCACAACGTTTGCGTGCTCGAAGGGTGCTTCTAATGGTCACGCTCGTGGCCCTATCATAACGACGAGGAGGATCTGTGGAGGTCAAAGCTGACGCCTTGGGCAGCGATGTGGTATCCGGTTTCGTTAAATCGTGTATAATATCAGTATTAACGCCATAGAATAAAACCAACTCAATTTACCAAAGATTAATATTATCACATCGTCGACAACTCCTTATAATGTACGCGGAATACCTTACATTCACCGAGGTAAACCGGACGGTATACTCGAATCGTATCGGGAGTAGATTTAGCAGTCCGACGTTAGTGAAATAAATATATTATGTACTTTGTCTTTAAAATTTAATAAATAAAATAAAATAAATACTAATTTAAAATTGTATAAACTATATATTATTTACGTATTTGGATGATATTTTAAGTATAATGGAAATATGCTTCGGAATTCCTGAACCCTGTGTGGAATAATTATAGAATAAAATTCAACATTGTATCCAAGAAAACTACAGTTTATAACATAATTTTGAAAATGATTGTCCAGGAAGAAAATGAAAACACGTAATACTGCATACATTCAGTGTTACGAAAACCATCTGATTAGTGATTTGTAGATAATATTAAACTTGTACATTTTTATTGAGTATAATATGCTATTGTACTAAATACTTGCCACATAAATAAATAACATATTCATTTGAATATTAAAATATAATCAGTACTGATCATCCTGATTATAAATCAGAAGTTTTTGAAATATAGAAAAAAACATTTATCTGAAATGTATTAGTTATAATAGCATTCTATAGGTAATTATAATATTAGTTGTAAGCACTCTAATAAATTAAATAATAAATAAACAGTATTTTTTTATTAAATATATAAAAGTTATTTCAAATAAAAATGTTTATAAAAATAAAAATATAAGTTCAGCGTATGTCTTAATTGACCATAAATATGTAGCAAAAAATATAGTTATTGTTTATTTTAAGGCGTACGATACACTATAACCACGTATACGAGTATACTTAGAAGCTCGAAGAACTAAAAACTAACTGCTACTACCTAAGCAACAAAACACAATATTATTTTTTCTTTGTAGTAAAATAAAATACGAACTTTGTTGTGGTCCAAACTATTTACCATCACATAAATTCAAATACATAATATTACTTTATTCCATATTATGCGCGTATACTAAACAAACAGCAATAAATTATAACACTATAGAATTTTTTTAGATTATTCGAATTAATTGTAAAAATCGTAATCATATACAATTCGAATGAAACAAAACTAGAACTGAATTACAAATCTCGAATTAAAAAATAATGAACAATTATTATATTTTATAATATCATAAGCAAATATAAAAATATTACGTTCATCGAGCATCATGTCGTAAAACGATTTATTCTGCAGCATAGGCACAACAAGTAAATTATTGGTGTTTGCACCCACAATATCAGCTAGACAGTAAACACATCACACATCACTTTAAATGATTACATAAACCCTTATTTATTTAATTAACTATGATAACAATTTGGTTTTTTAATTGAAAATCACGATCATAAACATTACAATTTTAAATAATAAATTCAATACCTCATTTTTAATTTTACAAAAGTGGGTGTTACACCTAAATCATTTCTGTCACTAGGTTTTAAATTATAAAATAAACATCATTTTTTTATCTCAAAGAATATTTAAAACCTATGCTAATCATTCAAAAATAAGATATTATTATATTTATTGAAAACGAAGTTTACTTAAGTCTAATATTTTGTTATCAATGTATCGGCATTGATGAAAAAAATTAATTTACCAACTAATGTAATTACATTTAATATCCTAGATAAAATTACAAGATACAATTCAGATAAATTTTGGGTAATGCTTGTTTATATAATTCTGTGCAGTGTGCATTTCATATTAATCATATTAAATGTAAATAGCTGGTATCGTACTGAATACTTTTCGATAATAATATAATAAACAGTAATATTTTGTCATCATATTCAAATCAACAATAACCATTGTTAGGTCTTTAGACATCTCGTTTTTAGTAATAATGAATATTTAATGCATGAATAATAATTATTTTGAATGAAATAATTGTTGTATATTAATTATCATACTGAAGTATGATAATTAAAATGTAATATTTTATATTTTACTTTGTTAGTTTCGTGATAAAGTCTGTGCAAAAAACAAAAACTTTTCTTAACAATTATCCAACTGAATGCTATTATAGGTCGACAGATTTATGATTTATTTTTATTTTTTCAATTTAGATAATTTATTTCAGATTTTTCAGATGGTATTTAAAGCCCAAAAAATAATAATTAACTATTCAGTTACGTATCACAAAAACAAAATTAAATATTTATGAAGTAATTGCTTGGTGTTTACGTGATCAATACAGAAAACAAAAAAGTTGTATAAATATGTTTATATTAAACTATATACATAACAAAATTCACTTTAAAAGTTAGTTTTTAAGTAATTTAAAATAAACGTTTGTGTTACGATTATCTTTGGTGAGTGAACAAGAATGATTTTTTTAATCTTTATTTATTAAATATATTTTAAACTATACTGAATTATTCATGTAAACACTTATTAGTTTATATTATTCAACACAATATACAACATATACATAATTAAACTTTTTAAATTTAAAGATAATAATTTGTGTTGCACTATTGGCAATAGTCTATTGCCTAATGGAGAAGTCCTCTCCTCAAATATTAAAATAAATAATGACTTTTAGTAATTTCATTTTAAGCAATATCTAAATTTGTAAATAATGTATGAACTCACTACTCACTATATCTCATGATATAATATTAAACTACAAATTCATTAAAAATGGTACTTGAATAACTCTGTTTATTCATTGTTATTAAAATAATAAAACCCATAATTGTTTGTAACATAAGACAAATATTAAATATTTATCCTTTTGACCGTTCATACAACTTTTTTTCTACCTATGCTAAAAAAACATACATCGTTATATCTTACCATATTAAATTTGTGGAACATAAATAATTTTTTATAAAAACTTATTTTTAATTTCTTTAATATATTATTCGACACCCGTGACCCGTTACATAGGTACTTTAAGGTAAGTATCATTATAAACGCTAAATTACAAAAACTTTATCATTAAAATATGTTATTAACTTTTTAATGCACCTACTTGTTGCAGATAATAGAATTTATCGTAAAAACATTTTTTGTCAAAATGGTTATAAAAACAAATCAAAAAACTTAAACACTTTAGGTGCCTAGTTAGGTCTATAACAATTTTATCCTAAAATGTTATTATTACACCTAACTACCTGGTTCAAGGCGGATTTAACCAATAATGAGCGACCATTTAAGAGTAGATTTTCATTTTGCTATACTTTAACATAATAAGCGTATCCGGAGGGTTATTGGATTCCAGAATTTCCATAAGCACAATACATTCCAGAAGATTTTTTTTTGTACCCGGAAGCAATGAACATTTGACGTATAATGAGCAGGGAAACTGAGCATTTTTTACGACTTCGTCGTCATAAAGATAAGAGTTTATATCAACGTACATACAACTTGATTCAATAAAATAAAAAAATGCAACTTAATGATATATTTATATAAAAATGCACTCTACGTTCATCAAATGCTGCAGCTAAACAGCTAATATTATCGTTTTGAACGTTCAAAAATGTGTAGTTACATTTGCAAGTAAATAACATCAAGTGAATACAGATGAGATCAATAAAATGGAAGTTATTTAGTTGCATCAAACAGTGTGTCCCAAAGGTCCCGTCCTAATTACCTTTATTCGTGGCAAATCAATATGTATCTAAATGCTGTTTTTTCGACAGTAATATTATATGTATGAACATTTGCATAAATTTCAATTTTCTTATGGATTACTGATGTTGAAAAAAAAACGCATTTAAAAATATTGATGTGTACCAGTTATAGTCACTATACCTGCATCGATACATCACGGAGATATTTTTGATGATACGACACTTCTGGTGAATACCGCGTGTGGCATAAATAATAAATAAGCTATAATATTTTATATAATTTGATGTGTGTACCCGCTCACAAGATGTATACCAACTGTTACACGCCGTATAGTGAATATTCATTATATATTAGGTTTGCTGTATACAGGTATAATGTTGCATAATATAATATACAAGTTGGCACTTACATATTTGTCATATAAACTTAACACATTAAATTCGTATTCATTTCGCATATAATTAAAACGAAAACATCCTTTGATTTAGTTAATTTACGCTCCCCTAGTCCCCTAAACCTGCTGCCGCACTCGATAATATATTACAGTAGATTTATATAAATATATATATATATCAATTACATGCGGGCACATGTCCGCCCACACAGTCTGTGCATTCAGCCTTATGTAATATGTATCATGTGCGTACATGTATCATAATAAGGAGTGAACCATTTACCTGGCTACGCTCATTTTCACACGTCAATTTCTGTATTTTTTTATTCAATGTTTTATGTAGTTTAAAGATATGTATTTATTAGACTCTATGTCAATATAACATAACACGATAATATTGCGTACGAAAATGATTGATGATTAATAAAAACATTTAAAGTTGATCCCGAGCGGAATTCATAGGGCGGACCACAACTCTTCAACTAAGCTATTTCAACCACGTAGTCGTACTTATACAAAAACTATTTATTCATAATACTATCAATAATATACATTGTAAATCGCATCAACAAAATATTGTTCTTCTGATTATGAAATTAAAAAAACATACGAATCATTTGCACAATAAGACATTTAAAAAAAAATCATATTTTATTCGTAAGAAAATGTAATACTTGGTAAATCTGTACCTATAAAACTATAGGCACCTAAAATCTACTTGGATAATATCCAGAGTTTCCAGTTAAGTTAAATATACCTAATATTGATCACCGTGTTCCACGCGTGGTACCCGCTCTAACAGTCTAATAAATTTACAGGTATACTGTAAACGGTGATGGTTATGTATATATATATATAATTATATGAAACGACAGTATATAGGACATTATGGGTATTATGTCTACAGTTTACGGACGTCGTCTATATCCACGCATAAAGGTCAATTTTAAACCATTATATATACATATGATGATTCACCGAGTATGCTCACCAAACTTAGTTGCTCGTATACTTGTATATTGACACAAGACAATCCTCAATGGCATATACAAAATATAAGTGCTTGAAAATATAGCCTTCGAGTGTATTAGTACTTAACAATTGAAAAATCTTTTTTTGAAAAAAGTCAGCATTTTGATCAATTAAGTATTACGTAGCAGAAAATATAGGGGTGACGGGGTGAGCATGCTCGGTGGATCTTGTTGTTCATACAGGGAGTAAGGGGTCGACAATATTTCTCATTGAAATTGTCAAATCCTCAGGCAGTGGCAGAGCGAATAATGGAGTTGGATACCCCAATTACCCTAGTCTCCAAGACCTAGACGGCTAGACTAGTTTCTGATTTATACTCGTTACATATTATGATCTACGTTTAAAATGTGTGAAAAAATAAGTGTAAAATGTGAAAAAACTGGTGTGTGGGTAGATACTTATTTAAGGCAGTTGCTTCATGGGAAAAAAAGTCAAAACAGCCGTTGCCTTCAGGTGTGTAGTGTAGAATACTAGAATATTGCGATGACGATGATGTTTATAAGGTGAGGGTATTAATTTTGACCATGTGACGGTTTTCCGAGTTGGGCACAGCGTTTAGGGCCCATACCTGCCGATAATTCTTGTTGTCCGTGAAAATCTTCGTGACCGCCGGTAACAGGTCGTATGACTGCAACAGCACCTTATGGTCTTCCGCTGCGACCGGTGAGCCGCCCGCGATCAGGCTCAATCTGTATATAAATATAAAACGATAAAAGAGTAAACTAGAAAAAGTCGATGGTTTGAAGAAATTCTGTGTGTGTAACGGGCAATGTAAATGAATACCAGGCAATTTGAATCGCGAATACAAACGAATTATTTTTTGTTTGAAATGTTTGTACCAAGTTTATTATTCCTATAATAATAGAGTTATATAATACTGATTCGGAAAAAAAATGTATTAATAAATTATTATTTTATTATGTTCTGAATATCTTATAAGAATGATTATTATTAATTTTATCACATTATGAATATTCAAAAAAACAAATAAAGTTATTGTATAATATACTCAATAGTCAATATAGATGCACTTTGAAGGCAGCTTTGCAAGACAAATAAATGCAACTGTAGGAAATTAGACAGACCTTGCAATAATAAGTGCCATTTAATTATGTACTTACTAATTAATAATTAATAATACTCCTATTCTAATTAATCTTAATAAAATATTATTTAACTTATTTTATTTACATCGTATAATGGTAGTATTCCATCAATATTTAGTAGGTGTATATAGTTATTATCATTATTATAATTGTTTTTAAATATTCAGAATAATATTATAATAACCAGCTAATAATACGAGTATGAAAATAATGTTTTGTTTTTTTCCATAAATTTATATTACTTATCTATATATAGTTATTGGATGATAAATTTAAATTGTCTGTATTCGTGATTAAATTGCCCGGACTGCAATTACCATAGCCCATGGCATGTATACACATGACTTCGTATATCACAATAATATTCCTAACCTACGAGGTGTCTTGTCATGCTAATTATTCGTATGAGTCTACAATAATGTCTGAAACATTAAAAATGAATTGGGTTTTGTGTTTCTTAAAAAACCTGAAAATGCCATTGTACAAAGCGTATCATGACAATCAGAGAGTTGCTATAATGTTTAAGTAAACGTCTAATAAGTCGAATAATTGATTGCCATATCACAGGAAGTGTTCAATTATAACATTTTTAAATACGTTTTTTGAGGGAGGTGGGTATAGACTGAGACACCCTCACAGCAGCGTACCTACTATGACTTTGAGGCTGGACCGTGGTTAGAGACGAACAACCCACGAGCATAATAATTATTATAATATAAGAATATATATAATGATAGTATGATATTATATTCACCTGACGGCCACGAAATCTCTGGTGTACACGTAATTGAGACCACCCTGTATGTCAGCGTACAGCCCGCTCGAAACGCCCAGCTTGACGCCTTCCCAGCGCACTCGCAATCCAACCGGAAGTACGTCACCATTCTGCAGCGAAGACAATAATTTTCTAATTTAGTCTCAAATTGTTACGATATGGCGGTGACTGCGAGGCCTAAAGGTACTGCGTTTTCGTAAGAATTTAACGAATTAAACGCGGAGACGCCGCGTGATGGCCCGCGTGAGGGAACAAAACGAACACACCGTGTGCGGATATTATAATAACTATTAAAAAGGGGAAAAATAGTTATTATATTATTTAATACGGTATAATTATTACGAACGCGTTGTAATTTTAATTAAACGCGCGAGCGTAAATACAGTGTAGCGTTTCGTTGTAATAAGCGCACCCATATATTTACTCGGTGCATTGTAGGTAAGTAGGTTTAGACGGTTTAAACGGTCGAGAAAAAGGATATAAGAGGAGGAGGTATGTTAAACGAATAAAGCGATAGTACTGGGATAACATTTTAGGGGAGGGCTTACTTTTTAATATATTTATATGTGACAGCAATATACATCGAGTTTTCTAAACAATTCGCAAAATAACATTTTGTTATTTGATTTCTTTAAAATACCTATCTATTATATCATAGGTAATAAAATAAATAATTATCGCAATGATGTGAAGCTGTTTAATTTACAATAAGTTAATTACTTTAAAACAATGGAATATTGTTTTTTATTAATGAAAATGAGTCTATGTGTCCATTATTGTAAATTGCTTTTGTTATTTATTTTTCATGAGCTGTAGCTGAATAAACCCTATTTCGACGTTTTTAACCTAGTTTTTATTTGGCACATTTATCCGAGATCTGAAAAACTTTCTTTTACACGTTTATTGTCATGAGTCCATCAACGGTTGATGAACTTATAAATTATACTTTAAACCGTATGATCAATGGTAATCGTCTATTATTGTGGTTACCTACGTATACCTGAAATCATTTACAAACATTTGGACGAACAGGTTGTGACTCATATTTTTTTTTCAAGTCTTCAAAAACAATATCACTGCAGGTATCCCACCATACGTATGTACCGGTCATTGTTACACAAAGATTCCAAAAAATTATTTGCACATACATGGAATATACGTCAAAGGTAAGCCACCACCCAGCAAATCAAATGCAGTTTTCGGATATTGCTATTACCTACTCTCACACGACGATCGCCGTTTTATTTCGTCGTCATGCGATAGAGTGTGTTATAATTAATTAGACGAGCTATATACCTTTAAGCTAGGCGTGACATAAGAGGTCAAATTCCGGAGGTCCTTGAACGAAGCCGTGTACAAGTCGTGCGATCGCGTTGACGTCAAGTACACTGACCGCTGAAGCTTGGAGACAGCGATGCATTCTGCAGGCACATCCGGGTCGACTTCCGGTCTGCGGTAGTCCTGTATAACTGATCCTGGGCCGTGATCCTGGGTGCGTAATGCTACCATGTACCAAACTCCCCGGTCCGGGTCAAACGCCGTGATGCGTCCCCCGCGCGCGTCACCCGCGTACACCCTCGTCTCGCCTTTGAACGGTCTCGCGTCCACCACCAGAGTGGCTAGTCCCGAGCCGTTGAGCCCACCGAGTTCCACCGACTGTATCTGCGTGACAACAACAACAATCTGATAATAACACTATATAACATGTGGGTATAAATCCCCAAAAGAGGGGTTGGAGATATTTTGAGTGGCCAATAACTCACCCTCCCTCTCCCCGACCAAAAAAATAAATGTTTGGATTTCGTAATTTATGGATTGCAAAGGAAGCAGCTACAGGAGTGTATTAGTTAAAGAATAATATGGATTTATGTAATATGTATGTTAACATTTTTTTTTTTTTTGATAACCTGGTTTTTGGCACTTATAGTAGATCGGGTGTAGATAGTATTTTTAAGAGGTCGTTAATTGTATTTTCTTGTACGTTTTCATATAATTCACAAGAAAAATCAACTATAAACCACAAAAAAAAACCACTCAAATATTTCTGATATACTCGTTTTTCATTGTATCGATTTTGTTTTTTTTTTTTTGCTACAATTCAAAATGTATCAACTATAGAAACTCGGAACTCTCATTAATTATTTATAATGCTGTACTAAAATAAGATTAAATTTCGGGAAAAGAAAAAATTGAGCATTTTAGAGTTATGTTTCTATTAGATTTCGTTTTCGTTCATAAAATATTATATTTTGAATCTGGTTTCGCTTGCTGCTTAGAATAGTTTATTGTAAATTGATTATAAAATGTAAAAATAGTGAATAACTTTCGTATTGTTTTATCTCAGTGTAATTTTAATTTTAATTGTTGACATTGCTGTTGAAAATGTATTAGGAGTATGTGTAAATAAATAAATTAACTTATCGCTTGAACTCCGAATTTATATTTGGTCACATTGTGTTTGATTTTTAAAGATAAAAATAGTACTAATCTAAAATACATCCATATTTACTCTCAATTTTTTTTTGTGTGTGTAGCCACTAGCCGCAAGTTTTATTTTGACGAAAATTGTAACCGACAAAATTAGTAGTGAAGTAATATTTATAATGTATACGTACACATTTGTAAGTGTTCAGGTCATAAACGATAATTTTCGGTTGACAGTTATGATATCCTCTGTCCAGCACGTACAGGTGCCCTCTGAGTTTGTCCAGGTCGACGGCAACAGCCGATTGAACGCGACGGCAATCGTAGAGTTTCTATTTTAGCGTGAAAAACGAAAACGATGTGATCAGTCAATCCGGACAAGATGTTCAGACGAAAATCCCGCACACCCTCCACCCACCCCAAACATCAATTTATACTATACCCCCCGAGCGTGTATAATACTATTACGTATTATGATGCATACGAACACGATAGGAAATTAAAACGACATATATATATATATTATAATATATGCCCACACGTTCACGTTTGAAGTTTGAGTATATGGCACAACATACATGTATATAATATAATATAATACTCTGTAAATTAACCGTAAATACGTTAAATCTGGGCTGTGTGCGGTGTCGGATGAATCCCCTAGTTCGGGCGACGGTGGAGTTTATTGAAATTATATTTTTCTCAAAATTCACAAACCGAATTATATCCAATGCACAAAAGGTTCCTAATTAAATATTCGCCTCGAGCGATATTCTATCAGTACGCGATAACGCACTCCTCGTATACATATGTATATATTTTAATGGATTTTCATTGAGTGTATATTATAGCAAAGTACATATAGCTAATATGTATATCGTATTTTCACACAACTGTACACAGCTTTGTACAATGTACATGATGAACAATAATAATAATAATAATATGATTTTAGTCCGAATGGGAAATATAATATATTTCACTGAAAACACCTCGAGGCGTTAATAACGGATGTTGTTACTTTTTTTTTTTTTGTAGGACCTCATTCAAATATTCTACATAATGATAATATAGTACCGCGTTATTAAATTACACTTCTCCTGGCGATACCATTTCTAAATAGGCTGCAGTTAATGGTATCGGTCTTGATATTAAAATAAATTTATCACTATAATATAATAATAATTACTTATAGCGTAATAATTTTTTAGCGTTCTATGCTCTGCGCATAAAACAGCGGAGATTTTTTTTTTTACAAAAATGAATTCAATGTTTTGAAGTTGATTAATGAGGTTAGAAGCAAATTAACATTTATTATAAATGAAAAATAAAGTTAAAACAAATATTACTATCGGTCTTTAATGAACATGGTGATAAATTAATTTTAAAAGTTCTTATCGAAATATTCAAAAGGATTACTATGTACAGTCAATAATGAGGAGTAATAAATAAATATAATATATAGGTATATGCGTTGAATACTTAAATGTATAATATATATAAACAAAGATTAATACTTCAGGACTAAGCCCTAAAGGATATAATATTCGATGCCCGATACGTATTTAATCGTTCTTAGAAATTTTTTTAGCACTTTAATGAACAAACTTATTTGTTTAAATACATCATACTAGTGCAGTACCTACATTGTAATTCAGAGTCGATTTTTAAGAATTCTAATAAAATTCGTAAAAATTCTATGGTCTGTCAAATCGATTTGGTACGATCGATACCAACAATATCTTACGCAACATCGACGATTTGATCGTTTATTATTTTATGCATACATGTGTCTGTGTGCGTGTGTGTCCACAATCATCATTACAGCAATGTTGTGTTTATGGGACCGGGTCATGGACACCGAGAGTAACATCTGTCTCGTGACAGACATCGAAGGTCGAAATGTGTTTATAATGTGGCCACGGTGGATGTGACTATGTGAGCATAAGAGGCCTGGGAGAATACACGTTACTCATACCGTAGTTATAGCCTATATATGTATACCACAGTATGCTTAGATGGATCGTAAGGAGTAGGTGTATAGGGATTGCCTGTACATTATCGCCTAGGCTCGAAAAAAAAAAAATGAAGAAGTGCGCTGAGAAAAAGTATAAGAAAATAAAACTAGTTTTTTTTCTCCCGATACGATCAATGAGTATATAATTATAATATGTAAATATATATTGTACACATTTAAGCGAGTGGCGAGCGTTATAAAAAATTTTGTTTTTTATTATTATTGATAAAGATACGATTATAGTGCTTTTGCGACCGCAAAAATACAGACGCCCCGAAATGACTTCGGCGACCGGCTTTGCCTTTTATCGTTTCGTGGTAATTACAATGGACGCCGTCACGAGAGTTGGTTCTAGAAATAAACACAACAAACCCATTTAAATAATATAATATATTATTATTATTATTATTATTATTATTGTATACAAATCAAACGCCGAGCGAAAGGTGCGCACTGCGAGCATCGTGAAAACGTCACACAGCAAAATAATAACAATAATAATAATCGAACTATAATACTACTTTCTCACAGATAGCAATATGCCCTTCGAACTCGAACAACGTGCTTTATATTCAATATATATATATACACAATATACATCTCATCCATTATAATGTATAGGTTATAATAATAATTGGGTAGATCCAGTCGAAAGATACGCAAAGTGTACGGTCGTTGGTGTGGCTGATTTGCAGTCGAAATAATAATATGTAACAATCGCAAACAATACCTCTGAATCAGAATTCGGAAGCGCTTCATTCGTCGCTCTCGTACATTCGACAACGATGGTTTTCGATTCGACTCCCGGAAGTGGGTGATAATAATAATAATAACAATAATGAGAGTTAGCAACGAAAACATGAATGAACAGTGGCGTCATTTCAAGTTTTGTAAAGAGAGGACAAATCGCTTGCAGCCCTTATAAAAAAATCAATGTCTGTCCTACTTATAACCTTTTTGTCTTCGATTTAAGGGAGTTTGCTCTTCCTGTTGGTTAAAAAAGACATTATTAATACATGACGTTTTATATTTTTAAGTCTAGGTACAATATAAGTACATTTTTCAATAATTAATAACATATAATATTACTATTATAATGTTTATTATAATTGTATCCATAATAATAAAACCATATAATAAGTAATATAACTATAAAAAAAATATGTAAGTATATGTATTATCTAACTGATCTATAAAAAAAAATAATTGAAACAAGTGAGTAAAGTCGATAAAAAATCATATGAAGGTATAACTTGTACCAATCTCACTAGCAACCCGTCTGTCGGGCTGCTTTTAAGATTAGAGTGAGTCAAATGCCCACTTTATTTCCATCCACCAAATGACACTGATAAAAATGTGTAGCGATACCTTTTCACAGTCACCGATATAAATAAAACAACGATAAGGCATTCGTGTATCAGGTGTTCTGCCTCCTTATTCCTGCAAATGATACGAAACATTTAAATCATTGTAAATCACTTAAGCATTTCGTTTATCTCCTGGCAGGACCAAATACAATAAAATACGTCCTATATTTGATTTAGCCACCGACGTCATATCTCAGCAAATATTCTCGAGAAGACAATTTTTCTGGTGAACTTTTATGTGCGTGTTATTAAATTATGGCAGTTAAGGTCAGAAAGCAATTAAGAAATGCTTATATAATATTTTTTTTTAATGGATATACCCATAAAGTGTGGGTACATTCTACCTAAATATTAAGTCATAATATCATGTTACGTGTTTTGTAAACAATTGTGATTTGCACGTACAAAATTTGTAACCATGGTAAAGTACGATACGTTTAAACGCTGTTTTACCTGTATTCAAAATATGTATATCTCATATTTAACGGTGTAGATCATCTTCAGTATTCTTAATAAATTATAGCTGATCTGTATACCACATATACCTACTTATACCGCGAATTTCAATAATGACAATAATGTAACAATAACAATAAAGATAATAGCAATAACATGGTAAATATAGACAGCCGTTTGTTTGTCCATGTTTGCGTTTTTTTAAACGAGACACTACAATGCCGCCGCCGACGTGAAATGTGTTGTGTGTAAATATATATTATTTTTTGCCTACTGCCTACGTAAATGTGAAAGTATTTAAGACCATTTTCGGACACGACTCGTACTTATAAAGTCATACATATATATATATATGCATATATAAGGTATCGTCATAGGTATATATAACGGAATAGGATTGAATTCGTTTCTCAACGTGTCCGTCGTATGGCCGGGACACGGCGCTGCGGTGTAATGCGTATAATAATAATAGTAATACACAGGTAGGTACGAACACAAACGAATACGAAACGCGAAGAATATATAATAAAATATAATGGTGGAAGGAAAAAAAAACCAGCGAAAACCGTTTGCGTCTCGGGCGGCAGAGGTTAAATCCAAAAAAGGAAACGAGCTGTGGCGGCGGCGACGGCAGTTGTGTGTGTGCGCGTTATTATACTTCTACATAGCTCTCCCCCGCCCCTCACACACACACGCACACACGCACAAATATATATATATAATATACTGTATAGTTAAAACAACGTTTTGCGAGCGTTTTAACTTCGTCGCCGTTTTTACAGCGCGCAAACACACACACACACACACACACACACACACACACACACTGCACATAAAGCACGAGCGGGGGTAGAACTCGAGTTTGCGAAATTTTCCCGACCAATCGATTTCGGTGCGGTTAACGCTCGCACGCCGCGAATTTCGCCTCCGCCCTGCCGGCGAGGGTGGCAGGTATGTATATGTAAGTATATATGTGGCAGGTAAATATATGTATATAGAATATATATACGCACGCAATATAACGACTGCAGTGTTGCACGTGCGTCGTCACCGAGGCGGATGAATAATATAATAATGATTGGCGGGGGTGCAGAGTGCGTACATTCTTATTATTATTATTATTATTATTATTATTATTATTATTATTATATAAGGGGCGAACTGCAACGCTCGTTTGCCGAAAAAATTCGTTTCTTCAGAGCAATGTCGACCGTATACAGCACATACCGTACACTGGGTGTAATGCAGATCGCCGTGTTGATGTTGTTTTCATACAGGCGCCGTCTATACATACTTCTGCGCATCAAATGTCGATATAATATGAGCACGGGTCGCGATGCTGTTCTTTTGGTTACGAATTTGAATTCCCCCCACTCCAGTATTGTTTCAATTTTTATTAAAGGATGATTAAATAATAATATTTGCACCATATAATACATTTATTTATTTATATGGCGATTGTAACACAGAAATGCGTCACTAAAAAAACACTCTTTAATAGTTTTACCTCGCAGAGTATTGCATACCTTTGCATATCACTGTCCCCTCCCTATTTACTCTCCAAGACATGGCATTGCAGAGACACCCTTAAATCCACGATTTCTGCTTGGTAAACTTCA